CTACAACTTTATTTCACTTCATTTTAACATTTCTCAATCCTATATTGAGTCTTTTAGTCTTATTTTATGGTTTCACATTCATTGGAGCTAGGATGCGGGAATGGTACTGTTTTATGTATTTAGTGAATAAAGTGTTGACATAAGCATTGTTGTACCAGGTGTATACGTTGCTGCAACACTAGACACTAGGATATTGGCACAGCTGAATCAATCTCGTTGAATATGTTGAAAAGTCAAATTTTGGAAGAAGGCATCTTCTAGTACTGATAGCAGGCGATTTTGATAGAAGATGCCACCGCAAAGATACTCTAACCTTTTAAACTTAAGCATCTTTTGTACTAAGACATCTTTTCTATTACCCATTGGGTATTACCCACTAGTACTTTTGATTCCCCTCTTGCTAGTATATGTATGGAGGTAATCTTTTGTTTTTTTTTGCAACACTTTGAACAATATCACTTTGTCATCAGGAACAAAGCTTCATCTAAGCTTTTGGTCCTTGTTACTTTTTAATATCATTTTGCAAGTACTTTCAAGTGTTCTTCGTCACTGTCAGTTGCTACAACAACCTTTTCAGCTTTCTATTTACTTTTCATGCAGAATTTATTTTTACGTCATTTACTTTCAGTCATGTTAGGCTAAATACATCAGTATAAGTGTGAGTGAAGGTCGTGAGACTACGCCAAGTGTTAGTCGATGATTGCTTTGCTAATAGCAATTTATTTTGCTATTCACAAGTGGTATCAATATTTCATCTGGTAATCTTTGACAAACTGACACATTTTATTTAGATGAGTTGGACTTAAAATTAAGACAACACAAATATTTTTATTATGTGTGTTATAGAGGCTATAAAGAGTCACTGTAATCTTATGGGTTGCAAAACTATATGGAAAGAAAGGCAAGATCTATACTAGTTTGGGATCGATGCATCACCAAGTGCACTTCCAACATATGGTCTAATTTACACTTTCTTGGAAGGTCGTTCAATCCAGTACTGTTGTAAATAGCTATTTATGTAGCAATATTCACTACATTTCATTACTGAAATCTAACCTTATCTTGCATCCATATTTTTTTTTAATTATTGTTTCGTTTCAGTATTTGGTTAACAACTCTCGCAAAGATATTTTCTCTCTGAATCTTTATTGCTTCCAAAAACCTTTTTCTGAAATCTCACTTTAAAGTTAACTTTTGTGACTCTCTTTGCAATTTAAATCTTTGTGGAACGATATTTGGTATTACTTACCATTATTACTTGCTTTGTACGACACTTGTAAGCCATGTATACTTGCATGATTTACTTGTTGATATAGCCTTTTGAGGATATAGTTATCCAGACACCAATACCCTAATAATTTTGGTGGCCCTTGTCATGCATGTATTTTTGTAGCAAGCAAGAGTTCACCTTCTTGATAAAGAGACAAAGGTGCTATGCGTTTGGACCAAAGGTGAAGAGGAAACCTTTGAAACTATTGGTGTATAATTATGATTTTTTTCGTCAACAACAAGAGTTGCACACTGCCATCCCTCCAAATAGAAGCCATCGTTTTTGCTAAGCACCTTCCATAGCAGTTTGCGGGCAACACATGAACGTATTGCTTTCTTTTGCTGTGCTTTTTCAGATTGAATTGGCTATTTTAGATGTACGGTTGAGTAATTTGTTTTATACGACAAGATATATTATGTACTATATCCAGAAGAGCCATTTAAATTTCTTTTGTACAACAAAATTTTAACCATTTTGGATAAGGTGTAGGACATACTTGCCATAAACAAGTTCCAAAGTTGGAGGGGTTTGAATTTATGAAAACTAGGTCTAAGTTTGAAAGAAAGGCATAAAAATAGGCGATGAGCTTAAATTTTGCTTAGAATTAGCTAGCAATTATTTTTCAAATATAGACAGCATCAAATAACCCATATCTATTTAAATAAAAGTATATTTATTGGTCCTTGCTTTTTATATTATAGAAAAAACTTTTTTAGACCAAGCCAGATCAAACAAAACCTTCGTATGAATTCGGTCTTTACCATATCAGCCTTTTTTATGGACCGCATTGACCATGTTGTTTGCCGACTCACAATTATATTTTCAAATTCATATAGTTGGTTGACTCACTTTTATGCAAAAGAAAAACTATATCTTTATACATATAAAAGAAAAAACAAGAAGATCAAAGTGACACTAAGCAAATTTAGAATCATTAAATCTTGAATTGTGATGTTGGATTTGGTGGAGAAAAAAAATGGTGATGTGTATAATAAAGAAGAAGGGGATGGCTTTGAAAATAAAAAAATGTTGGTTGTCTAAATGGTTATGTTTGCAAAACCACAATTTTTTATAAGAATCGATATAATATAATCTATACGATATTATAAACTATTTGATAAAAATTCTTAAAAATTATTTTTTATGTATTAAGTACTGTTTATTTATGCATATTACTTAAAGTTCAAGATTACAAGTATATTGTGTGTAAGTACAACTTACTAAAGCTTTATGTTTGAATTCATGTAACTAACTACATATAAACATAATTAAATAGAGGATAAACATCTCATTTTAAATATTATAGAAAATCTAAAATATAATTAGGATAACTATCGACTTCTAATAAAATATTTAATTATTATCTGTATAAAAAATTATACTATTAAACAAAAAACAAAAAAATGAATTAAAGAAATACACAAAAAAATGAGAAATTTCAAATAGTTAGTTTGGTACTAATATTATTATTTCTTTTATAATTTTTTATGACATCTTCATATTTATATATTATTCAGAAATAAAAACAGTATTGCTTTCTTAAAACCATAAAAAATCGTATTATAATATCGACTGAGACAAAAAATAAAATAAAAAGAAATATTAAAATCAAGATGTATCTCTTTATATTATACAAGTACCCTTTTACTAGTTATATATAGAAGATAAACCAGAGGTTATAATATAAGATTTAAGTTTCAAATTGACAAATGATGATATAACTATATCAAAGGACTTACAACATGTGAAAATTCGATGTTTTCTAAAAGAAGTTATCATGCACCATTGAACATTAGGGGTCCGTTTGGTTTAAATGATTGTTTTTTAGAGATTTAGAATTTATGGAGGGATTTGGATTTAGAGGGATTTGGATTTACAAGGATTTGGATTGGAATGAATTTGAAATCGTTGGTGTGTTTGATTTGTAATGAAATTAGATTTTATTATTTATAGAAAATTTATAAATAATTTATAGAAAATTTATCAATAATTATAAAAATAATTGAATTACATTTTTATTAATCGATTATTACAAAACAAATGTTTTTAACATTTTTTAAAACCTTATTGCATACAATCTTACGAAATCCCGTGAAATCCCGAGCACTCCCTAAGGATTTCAAAGTCTATATTTGAAGGATTTTAAATTCGGATAATCCAACAAACCAAACATGAAATCTAAATGGATTTGAAATGCAAATCCTCTCAAATCTATTTCATTCCTACAAACCAAAAGGAACCTCACTTTTCTTTATTTTAAGGAATTGGAGATGCTCAAGGTACAAATTCTTTTCTAAATTTTGTATTGAAACTAAAATTAATTTAATTTATGTTTCTTAAAATAACAAATAAAAATACTAACGGTCCGTTTGGCTTGCAAGATTGTTTTTGAGAGGTTTGGATTTCATGTAGGAATTTGATTTGAAGGGATTTAGATTAGAATGAATTTGAAATCATTAATGTGTTTGGTTTAAAGGAATTGGAACGAATTGGATTTCATTATTATAAATAAAGTTATAGAAAAATTATACATAAATATAAAAATAATTGAATTATATTTTTATCAATTGATTATCATGAAAGAAATGTTTTTAAACAACTTTAAAACCTTATTACATACGAACCTAAAATCAAAAGCTACAATCTCAAATAAATATTAGACGTCCAAACAATCCATCAAACCAATTAAATTGAATTTGAAATACAAAGTCCCCAAGTCCATTTGATTTCTTCAAACCAAACTGGACATAGGGGCTGTTTACCAACAATAGCTGATAAGCGCTGTCTGAAATAAGAGGTCTGATCAGAGTAAGCATCTCTGTCTGGAGTAAGTGTTGTTTGTAAAAAACTGTTTACCAAGTATTCTGGATTTGGTGCTGACTAATAAAAAAATGACCATTATAACCCTATATGTGATGAAGTGTTTAAACTGAAGCAACTATTGAAAGGAAAAATTAAGGATAAATGAGAAAATGAGGAACTCCAGATTCAATCTTGCTTGGAATACCATCATACTGTCATTGATACTATAAGAAACGAGAAAGGAAGCAAGAAAGAAGTGTAGTCCATCTCAGATAAGTGATTTTAGAAAATTTTCAGGGAAATTAGGGGTAGGAGGGTTAAAATCTATTTCTGAAGTTGAGGGAATTAGCTGTAGAACTTCCTTGTTTAGCATAGCAGAAAATTGTATACATAGATGAGGATGAATTGTAGACGATGTAACACATAAACAACATAATTGTTCCCTAAATAAAGAAGCCCTAAATTGTTCAATGGTAACAAATCATTACTCATCAAATAAAAACCCTAATCTTGAAGACCTTAGACATAAATGAATGGTAATGACATACCTGAAATTGAAGATGGAGCTTGAATAAAGCGTATTGCTGATGATAAAACTGAGAAAGGCGAACAAGAGAATGAGGATTGACAACAGGAGATCGATGAACTCTAATGACGAGTTCTGCAGCTTGATTTTCTTCTGAAACAGGGATCGATTGGTCTTGAAAGGATGAAGAATGCGATTGAAATTAGGGGAATGGAGGATAAAATGGGAAAAAAATCTGCAACGTATCTCTGACTGCGATATGGATGGTAAACCTTGCTAACCGATTGTTGCCGGGTTAGAGGAACGGTCAGACCCACTTTTCATAATAAGAGATAAGTAAACATCCCACTTTTTATCGAGGTAAGAGGCTCTTATTTAATAAAGTGTTAATAAGAAGCAAGTATAGTTTTCATAAACTATAACAAGTGTTTTTACTCTATGGTTCTGAAAACCCTACAAAACCCTCCTGCTTCAGACGGAATTTGGAACAACCATGAACGGGATCATTCAAACGTCCAAAAGATCGCTTCTATCCCTCTCTAGAACCCTAATTCCTAATATCCACGAACGATTTCCTCTTCAAATCAACAAACTCGTATCCAGATTTCCCCCAATCTATGCCACGACTGTATCGTTCACTTCAACTCTGCAAGACAAGTCACCATTTGAATCAAATCTTCTTCGCATGCTTACAAACGAGATCGAGTTCGAGTCGGAATATGCCCCTCATCCGGTAAGTTACAAACGCGATGCATTATTTGATTACTGTTGTTTAATTTTCATCAATTGGTTCCCTTTCTTAGTACAATTTAAACATATGTGAACCAGAAAATTGGTGAAATTTGTTCTTACTTTTGAATTCTCTAGACTTTTTTAGGGTGAAATGTTCCATGATGAAATTTTAATGGAAAAACTGAAATAACCGAATCCGGAGAAATTTTATATTTTCATGGCGTAAAGTATAATTTTCGTAGTCTAATGTACAACTTATGGTTTAGAACGGTAATCAAACTTTGTTATTCTGAAATTCAAATTTTTGTTATTGGTAGTGTTCTTCTATAATCATTTTATCTGTGGATTAGAGTTTTCTTTCATTTGCTGTGAAATGATGCAACATACTCAAGTGAGGGTACACCGTCACCGGTATCCTTAATTTTGAGAATTGTGGGAAACAAGTACGAGTGGCAGATTCAAATAAGAGCGCTAAATATCGTGATATGGTAAGAAGCAAGGTGTAAAGAAGGTTAATATGTGAATTATGGAAAAAATCTATTTGAAGATGCATATGTGAACTAGTACGAATTATTGTAACACAGTTCATATATGCATCTTCAAATAGTTTTTAAGATTTTTTCAACATATGAACCTTCCAAATAAACCGGCCCAAATAAGTACCAATTGTGGAACTATGGAGTATAATTTTTAGATACCCTCGTCTGTTTGAATACACAAGTTTTTGAATCTATGAACATCATACTTGGCTTGTCATTGCAAACTAACTGTTGTTTTTGGAGAAATGCCAATATGGCACCATAGTTTGCATGAATGGGCTATATGTAATGCTAAAATGGTTGTACATGACATTTTCCCACTAAAATCACTCATTTTTGGCAGAAGCTAGTGTTTCCTTTGTATTTTCACAAAAATTATGGCTTGTATGCACAAATGTGAGTTTTGCACCATGGGAAATTATTTTGTGCTCTCTTTAAAGTTTTTCTTTTCCGAAAAATTTCTGTATTCAACGGCGACCATGCTATGAACTGCAGCTTGACAAAAAATTCAATGCATTTATGGTGGAAGATAGACCTGGCGAGCAGTTTCTTACCTTGAGGGGCAGGTCTACAATTGATGAAAACATTAAAATTGAAGCTACAATGTTTGATGGTTATGGTACTATATCTCCTGTCTTGAGGGATGAAGATACCGAGCTCAATCCCCAACTTCACATCAGCTTGCTAGTAGATATATCAAAGGGTGAAGGAGGTGACATGCTGGAGTTTGTATGCTCGGCATGGCCGGAACGTTTGGAGATTGAGAAATTTTACATACTTGCATTCGATGGAAAATTATCTCAGCCCTACATTGGGCCTGATTTCAGGTAAATATTTGATACTTCTTTTATGCATTTAGTTTCATGCACATTTAAGGTCCAATTTTTGCTATTACCTCCATTTCTTGAAAATTGGGACTTCCTTATTGAGGTCAACCAATGTTGTTAAAAGCTCAAGGCGCACTTAGGCGCAAAGGGGTCCCGGGGCCTACGCGTGAGGCGTAGGCATGAGGCGCGGGCCACAGGAATGCTAGGCGCATCTTATCACAATATACATACATGCACAAACAGTTAAACAAAACTCAAATATGCAACAAGTACAAGCCTCCAATGCAACAACCACCAGTTATTTGATGATAGAGGCAGAAGGGAGAAGGGTTTAAACCTGAGCCGTGAGGGAGAAGTTTTAAGGTTCGGGTACTCATAGAGAAGGAGGCTTGAAGTTCTAAGTACTAGGTATTTAGTATTAGGTTTTGACTTATATCATCTATTCCATAACTCTTTGTTTAAGAAGTCTAGAAGATGAGAAGATGAGAAACTTATTTAATATTAGGGTTTGACTAGATTTTTGGTTAACTCTTTATGAGGCGTGCCAAGACCCACTAGGTGCCTTAGCCAAGGCGCAGGGCCTTAATTAGCCTCATGAATACGCCTATCCTCGAGTTTAAAAAAGCCCAAGACCTTGAGCCTTGTGAGCCTAAGAGCCTAGGCGCGTCTCAGGTGCGCTTTTAACAACTATGAGATCAACTTCTTTAGATGATCTACTTGGTTTTTGTAGCAATAAAGCAGTATTTTTGTGAAAATGCAAAAAATAGGAAGAAAGAAAACACCCTACTTTGTTAGTAAAACAATTCTAGATAAACCGTGAAAATTGCAAAACATAACCATGTTACCTGGGCACTTAATAGCAGTATTTTAGCGATGCTATAGCGGTTAGTGGTGGTTGAGGAAATAGCGTTGGTCAAATAGCGGTCCTGCGATTAGCGACACTATCTACCGCCTTTTGGCTGCGAAATGGATCTCAAATAGTGGCTCTAAATATGCAATTTGTGCATGGGTTGTTTTGGTGTGAACCAGGCTATTTTCTGGACATACGTTAATATGTTTTGCACTCTATCTTTAGTGATTTGTTTTTTTACAGATTAGGTTTTATATATTCGTCTTTTCCAAAGAGATTCAGTCGCGCTTTTCAGATTTGATTAGCTTTTTCTAGGCTTCCAGGCTTGTCACCTCCTACTATGATGTGTGGCAATCCCTATTTTTTCATACTTATGCAACTTTGGGGCCGTTTACCAAACGCTTACCTGGGTAAGTGCTTACCGGCAAAATTCACACCATCATTTACTTAACCGGTAAGATTTTAGTCCACCAAAACAATATCGTATGCAACAATTTACCCGGTAAGCGCTAACTGTGGTAAGATTCATCACCCTCACTTACCGTGTAAGACTCTCGACTCTTGCCTTTTGCTCTTACCTAGTAAGATTCTTGGTCCTTGCCATATTCATTCAGTAAGGTAATGTGACTTAGTAAGCACTTACCCGAGTAAGCGTTTGGTAAACACGGCCCCTTCCTCACCAGAAGGATACAGTGTAGAGATGACCTTGCCAAAAAATCTAATTCCTTTATTTTGACTACTTGAATCTTTTTGGTATGCGAAACTTTGCTAAAATATTTTGTTCTTTCTGTTGTATGACACTTCTGTTTATAGAAACATTACCACTTTTCGTGAATCTGTTTATGGAGATGCTGGATAGAGGAATCAAGCCTAACTTTTTTACTGCAATACCATTGCTTTACCAACATGATAACCGCTATTATATCAAAATGATTGCTTTAACTGCTAGCATGGTACATGGCACTCATGTCCAAATTGCTCATCTTTGTAGAGGGGTAGTGTATGTTTAGTATTTTCAAGAAAATGTTGGTTTATTTGTGCTAATCAGCCAAGTACAATAAATTGAATCAATCATTCAATCCTTTTTGGTCACATCAAGCTAATGTATGTGTGCATGATCATGGCTAAACTCTATAAATGCTACTGATTTTGATCTACAAGGATCTCTTATTTTATCATTATTGAACAATACCATATGCCTTCGGCGTATAGCTCAGTTGGCAAAGGGGTAGGGCGATTTTGCTCAAATACAAGACAGGTCCCGAGTTTGATCTCCCCTGGCGGCTAACCTCACCTCTGAGTGAGCCAAAAAATGCCCCCTCACATTGGTGTCCTTGGAGGCGGATTTCGTGTGGGGCTGGTTGGTATTGCTAGTAATCAACTTTTTTCCCAAATAATTAAACAATTCTATCTAGTCAAACCTAGCAATTTTCATGGAATGGAGGGTGTATTTCCTGTTTTTGATCAACAAACATTTGTGTGAACATCAACTGATTTAGCATAAGAAGTTTGAAGTTATTTTAAAGAGTAACATATCAGAAAATTGTTCCTTTTAAACAACAAAGTTCACATATTATTTATGAATGCATGCCTTTTTATTTACTAGTTATGGTGGGGATAGAAAGAAATTCCTTTAGAAATTAATGAAGAGCTGAAACAGTTGATTCTCTATAACATGATTAACATCCTCCCAAATCCTTGGTTCTATTCCTGGGAAATTCTATAGCAACTACCCATAGTTGTTAAGAGCCTGCCTAGGTTCTAAGGCTCATAAGGCTCAAGGTCTTGGGCTTTTCTAAAGTCAAGGCCATGCATATCTACGAGGCTCACTAAGGCGTTGCGCCTTGGCTGAGGTGCCTTATGGGCTTCGAAGCACCTCATAAAGAGTTATTAAATACCCAGTCAAAATGTAAAATAACTTTTCTCCTCTTCTCATCTCCTAGACCTTTTTAAAAAAGTTATAAATGATGGCATAAGTCAAAGCCTAATATTAGTACCCAGTTCTTGGAACTTGTAACATCCCGTTTCCGGGGGTAACGTCCCTTGCCCTTAGTACAAGTGAGTGAAAGAAACTTCATATCTTAAAACTTTTATTTCATTATAATAGAGTTATTACAGCAGCGGAAATGCGGAAATTTACATCTTATAATATTCTAACATCTTAGAATAGCAACACTTTAGCTTGTTTCAACTCCTTGATTCCTGAGATACATACATGAATACGTAAGCTAGAAGCTTAGTAGGTAGTTATGGTTTCATGATAAAACATTCTTTCCAAATAGTTAAAATAACTCATATATACTTTCATGTATAAAAACATTTCTTTGAGATCTCATTGTTACATGTTAAGTAAACCAACTACTCACAGGTTCTTTAACCTCGGGTCCACATAAGGGCTGCCCAATGAGGTCCGTTTGCAGGACGTACCTTTGTACCTTGTATCCCGTACGTTGGATATTTAAATGATTATACTTCATGTATAAAAACTTTCATATTCCACATGTGCATCATGACATAAAAGGTGTACTTTGCCACATAATCATAACATAACTTTTACAAGAAGATATGACAATACTCTTTCATGCTTAAAACATATATATATATATATATAGCATGTATGTATCACAGTAAATCTCATAACGTACTCACCTTGATTATGCGTAGCTTTTCCCTTAATTCCTATCTTCAAGCTTGATTAGGTATAAATAGAGAGATTTCTTATTTTTGGTATGGAACTAACGGTAACACTTCAATCACTATTTAGAATTTATAGATAAATTCATTGCATTAGCTACTTGTTCTTCTTGCCCCAAAATTGTACTCTTATGATAGTTTAACACCTCATTTTTTGAGGATAAGAGAATCTTGACACCTCATGCTTAATATAAAAGAATCTTGACACCTCATGCTTCTAGCTCTTACTTGTCATCATGTATTTTGCCAACACATATTTCTAGCCTTGACAACTCATAACTAGCTTGCTTTGTCATAAAGAGTATGGTTGCTTTGTCATAAGATTTTTGTGGCTCATGTTGTTTGTTTATAAGTAGCTTTGTAAGCTACTTGTAAGCTACTTGCCTTATAAATATGATAGTTTAATAAATGCTACAACTATTGGACTCTCTTAAGAGTATTTGATTTACTTACAAAATCTTGTATTTACGGCTTAAACATCGAGATTTAGCAAATAAAAAAACTAGGGTGTTACAATTCTCCCTTTCTTATAAGAATTTCGTCCTCGAAATTTTACTCAAAGGATATGGGTACTTATTCCTCATTTTTTACTCGGCTTCCCATGTTGCCTCTGATCCATGAGAATAGTCCCAATGAACTAATACCAAGGATACCTCTTTGTTTCGAAGTTTCTTAATTTTATGCTCAATGATAGCTATGGGTTCTTCTACGAATTTAAGTTTTTATCATCAACCGAGATTTCTTCAACCTCGTTTCCATAACATCGAATAAGTCACCAACTATCTTCCATTCCTTACCATTTAGATATATGCAAACTCAAAATATCTTATCACTTGCTATGTCATACTTACATCAACTTAGTTCGACAGAATAATATCATAAACTTTATATTTGCGGAAGTATTCTAATAATAGTTCAATAGCCTAACACGTATAACTGCTACTATAAGAAGTATATCTCTTCATGTCGGTCCCTTCATGTCTTACTTTGATCTTACGTGAGATAGTTCCTATTTCACCTATCCATCTGACATTGTACACATGTACATGTACTAATTCTCCATTCAAGGTTTGTATCTTAATCGTATTCTTTTCAAACACCACTTCTGCGTCATTCTTTGACAACAAAACCATTCCAATATTATATCACTTTTTTCCTAAGCACATCAACTTAGCTAGGTAAGTCTTACCATTTAGATTCATAGAACAATCCTCAAGAATCTCATTAACCTTTGACTGACCACCATCAATGGTTATTAGTACCTTACTCTTATTCTAGTTGTTTAGCTCTTATATTCAAGTAGTTGAAACAAAGCTTCTAGATGTACTTGAATCGAATAAAACTAGGGTACAATAATTATTGCCAAGAAACACATGTTGGTGATTCCTTAGGCCTCGTCTGCTATCATGACATATGCCTTGTCCTTTGCCTTTGGTTCCTCTTTTTTTTGTTTTTT